AGCGCGAACCTCGTTCGAAAACCTTTGCGCACGTGCTGTCGTAGACACCTCAATAATCGCGGGACGAAGTGCACACGCGCGCGTCGTCGCGCGCACATGCCGGAATCCTTCAATCATGTCGTGTCAAATGCGACCGCTCGGGCCGCTCGCGCCGCATGTCGAAGTCATTAAACAGCTTTGCGAGCCGTGCTGAGGGGGACACAATCCCTGTCAAAGAACACCATGCGAGCCAATGGAGCGCGTCAGCCGCGTGCGCATGTCGAACTCCAAAACCCTCATCACCAACGCGAAGACACCGTCATCGTCATTGGGGTGATCACCATGGGCTGGGAAATGCCGAGGGGTTACCGCCACCGCGGCCGCGTCGGTCGCGCCAGACAAGCTGTCCGCTGTGCGCGCGAGCATGCGTGGGCCAGCGCGGCCGCAGAGACGAACCAGCCAACACCAAGCCCTCATCGCAATCGCCGTCGCATGGGTTTTGCAATCAAGTTGCGGGTGGGTGTTGGGTGGTGGGTGGGGCCATTGCCCGAGCAGCGGAGTTGTCAACTCCAACTTTCTTAAGAGCAGTGGAAAAACAAATAGTGCACCAAATAGAGTATGACTTCCTCAAAAATATGACCCACCACCCTCCCGATTTATCATTACCCTCTGGGCATCTGTAATTTACATAAGATTCTGCACCATCGTCCATCCTACATGCGAACTCGTACCATCCCAGGCAGGCTGGAGTTCGCCCCCCCCCCCCCCCTGATCCTCTGCAAGAATTACTTTGCACGCGCACTCGCTCATCACAACTCAGCAATTTCAGAAAAAACCTTGCAAAACATGTGACGACTTGTGCACGCGCGCGTCGTCTGGCGCGCATGCCGGAAAATCTCTAACATGATCAGTTTCGAAAGGAATTCCCAATCGAGTGTCCAGAAAACATGAATGCACATAGTTTCGCAACACAGATTTTCAAACAAAAACCTGCGTCCGCGCCCTTGCGAATTCTTCCGGAAACCATTGGTTTTTTAAAGATTCTCAGAGACTGCTGCCAAGGGGCCTCTCGCGCGCGCGTGTCGAAATCGCTCGAACGCATTTGCGTGCGTGTTGTCGCAAGAACCCCTTGCAACAAATGGGACGAATCACGCGCGCGCGCGTCCTCGCGCACGCATGCCGAAATCCGTTAAAAAAACATGGGTTTCGCACTGGTTTCAAAAACGAGTGTTCCAAACACCTATAACAACGTATGGTGTTGCAACATCAGTTATCAAAAAATGCCTGCGCGCGCGCTCTGGCAAATTCTTCCTAAAACCACAAGTGTTTCCAGCATTGCCACCGAACGCTGCTAAACGGGCCCCTCGCGCCGCATGTCGAACTCATCCGAACGCCTTTGCGCGGGTGCTGGGGGGCACGACCCGTGTCAAATGTTACCTCGCGGGCCACTCGCGCGCGTCGGCCGCGCGCGCATGTTGAACTTCTTCCAAAACCTTCATCACCGACGCGGGGACATCGTCATCATTATCGGCGGGCCTGATCACCCGGCGCCGTCACTGGCGTCGCCGTCGTCATCGCCACCATCGCCACCATCATCGCTACTCTCATTATCGTGTCTACCTTTGTCGGCGTCGCTATGACACCGCGCCGCCAACGTCACCGACTCGCAGTGAAATGCCCGCTGGAAGTGCCCAGCATTCAACACCACCGTGGTCGCGTCTGTCGCGCCGCACTAGCTGGTCGCTGCGCGCGCGACCATGCGCGGGCTAGCGCGTCCGCACAGATGCACCAGCCAACGCCAAGCATTCATTGCAATCGCCGTCGCAGGGGTTTTGAAAACCAAATTGCGGGTGGGTGGGCGGGATGAACTGCGCGAGCAGTGGGCTTGACAATTTGATGTTCTGCAGTAGACTGCACCACGTGGACTGCGCCACGTATATTGCACCAAATATTTCGCACAACATAAGTGACACCACATGGATTGCACCACGTAGATTGCACACACATGTTGCACACCATATGGGTTACACCATATACGCTACACGACATACATTGCACCACGTATGTTGAACAACATATACCCCACCACATATATAGCACCACGCCGATCGCACCACATATATTGTGCCAGGCATATTGCACCACTTCGACCGCACAACAAAGATTGCACCACATCGTTGAACAATAGCGGCTGCACCACATAGCTTTCACCACACATATTGCACCACATAGATTGCTCAACAAAGGTTGCTCAACATACATTGCTCCACGTAGGTTGCACAACATACATGGCACACCATCTTTGGCTAGGGACACACTGTTTTGGGTCCACGCTTGCCAACACACGTATTTATACATTCATATACACTAAAACTAGAACCACGCGCGCGCTTCGCGCGCTTAGGTTCCAGCAGGCACCAAGCCTTGACGAGTTCGTTCCTCCGCTGAAGTTGTGGACCGCAGATGGTTTGAACGGGAGTTGAAAAAGTGCCCATAACGCTGAACGCATTGCGGGCAATGACAAATCCACGCATGCCAATTTGCAGTCAGGGAGGTTTTCGGGGAAGATCGTTGCGTAGGGGGGCGGAGGCCTGATGAATCGGGATCCCAGAAGGCCTTCTGGGAACATGGTTTTTTGGGGCGTCTGTGGGAACCTGCTGGGGAGTGCCGTCGTCGTTGTCGTCGTCGCAATGTCGTCGTCGCCTCTTGGGGCGCACCGTCGTCGTCGTCGTCGTCGTCGTCGTCGTCGTCGTCGTCGTCGTCGTCGTCGTCGTCGTCGTCGTCGTCGTCGTCGTCGTTGTCCTCGTCTTCGTCGTCTTCGTCGTCTTCGTCGTCGTCGTCGTCGGACGCACCCCTCCCAGGATCCATCCAGCGCAGTTTTCCACTCCAGATCGAAGCTCGACGACCCCAGGGCCCGAGAAAGGCCCCCGAAGACAGAAAGCGCCGAACAACCGTTTCGAACATCGAAGTCCGAAGTCGTCGTCGTCTTCGTCGTCGGCAGAGAAGGCGATCAAACATGTTCCCGGTCAACTCCTCAGACAACTCTCCGGCAGCGTGATAGTACTTTGAAGCCTCCGGAGACTCTCGGGCCCATGATGAACCATGTCCCTGGAAGGCCTTCTGGGGACATGATTTGTTGGGGTGTGTTGGGGGGCCTCTTGGGCGGTCCCTGGAAGCCCCTTGGGGGCCTCTTGGGGCTTCCTGGAGGCCTCTTGGGGCCCTCCCGGGGCTTCTTGGGAGCCTCTTGGTAGCCTCTGGGAGCCCACTGGGGGCCTCTAGGGCCAGAGACCTCAAAATATTGGTTTGCAGTCCCCCTCTTGGCCCACCCTTGGGGCGCTCTTGGGGCACACTTGGGTTGTCTGAGGAGCTTCCTGGGTCGTCTTGGGGCCCTCTTCGGGGCATCGTGGGCCGTCTTGGAGCGATCTGAAGGGCCTCCGAGGCCGTGAGGGAGCGTCGGGAAGCAGGAAAAGCGAGAACGCCAAAATCCTCCCAAAACCTTCAGGAGACAAGTCAATTTTGCCTTCCAGGGCCCTCTTGGGAAGCCTTTTGAAGCCGTTCTGGGGCGTGTTGGTGTCCTCGTCGGCCGTCTTGAGGGCATCTTGGGCGTCTTCGGGGCCTCTTGGGACTGTCTTGGACCCTCTTGGGCCCCCTTCGCCTGTCGTGCCCCGTTTCGGGGCGGGGTCGGGCCTTCTCGGGAGCTCTGGGGCCCCGCAGAACCCCCGGGGGGCGCCCATGGAGGACACAAGCAAAGGCCTGCCCCCCCCCCGACTTGGGGCCCTCTTGGGTCTTGGGGTACTCCAGGGCCGTCTTGGAGGCCATCCTGGGCGTCTAGGAAGCCTCCTGTGCCGTCTTGGGGCCCGTTTGGGGCCGTCTTGGGGGCATCTTTGGCTGTTCTGGAGCCATCCTGGAGGCCTCTTGGGCGATCTAGGGGCAATCTTTTGGGGCTCTGGGGCCGTCTCGGGCCGTCGGAAGGCCGAAAAGAAGCAATTGCCAAATTCCATCAAAAACCTATCGGAAATCAATGATTGTTGACCTCTTCGGGCCTTCCTGGAGGCCCTCTTGGAGGCCTCCCATCTTGGGCCGTCTTGGTGGGCTCCGGGCCCGTCTGACGCCGACCTGGAGCCCTCTTGGTGTGCTCCAGGGTCGTCTTGGAGGCCATCTTGAGCGTCTCGGAGGCCTCTTGGGCTGCTTGGGGGCCACTTGGGCCGATCTGGAGCCATCCTGGAGGACTCTTGGGCGATCTTGGGGTGATCTTTGGGGGCTCTCGGGCCGTCTCGGGCCGTCGGACGGCCGAAAAGGAGCAAATGCCCAAATCCTTAAACAACCTATGGGAATCAATGAGTTTGGCCTCTTCGGGCCTTCCTGGAGGCCCTCTTGGTGGGCCATCTTAAAGCCTTCTTGGGCCATCTTGGTGGGCTCCTGGCTCGTCTGAAACCATATTGGGCCCTCTTGGGGTGCTCCAGGGCCGTCTTGGGGGCTTAATGGGCGTCTCATAAGCCTCTTGGACCGTTTTGGACCGTGAGCGGGGGGTCCTGGAGCCCCAGTCCCGCCATGGAGAAATGGGGCCGGGCCCCCCAGGGAACCTGGAACCCCGGTTATCTAGCTTATCTATACATATATATATGTACATATATATATATAGTTATGTATAGATTTGTGTATATGTATATGGATGTGTATATGTAAATGTGAATGCATCTACATATGTAGTGTATGTGTTTATGTATATGTATGGGTATGTGTATATGTAGATGTGTGTATAGTGGTATGTGATTGTATATGTATATGTATACGCATAAGTGAAAATACGTGTATGCGTATATGTATATTTATAGTTGTATGTATGTGTGTGTATGTATGTATGTATGTATGTATGTATGTATGTATGTATGTATGTATGTATGTATGTATGTATGTATGTATGTATGTGTGTGTATGTATGTATGTATGTATGTATGTATGTATGTATGTGTGTATGTATGTATGTGTGTTTGTTGGTTTGTTTGTTTGTATATATGTACATACATACATACAATTGGCCGCGTGCAGTAGCAATCCGACCAGTGAGTGTGGGATCATACAGCCATTTACCAACTGCGTGGCGCCGAAAAACGATACTTCAACAATTACCTATCCGCGATAGTGGCTTCAAACGGATCGTGCGACGCCAAGAAACCTGCACGAGAGAGAACACGAACGTGAACAACACTAGCCACTAACATGTGTGAAGTTCTTTGAGAGGGCACCTGGGTAGCCTCGAAGCCGCAGGGTTGATCTCCAACCGACATCCGACTGCATCCCTCCTGACTCCAGCCAGCGTAAAGAAGCCTTCCGGTCGCCGCAGGACGCCCGCCGCAGCAGACTCTGCACATCGACCTCCTGCCAACGCGCTCTGCAGCAGCGCTGGGATGGCGGAGTAAGTGCGCGTGGACCACGCATGCAATCAAGTCGTGACCACCGCAAAGCCTAAGGTAGCTTAACATGATGCATGTCTTTCGTCTTGACAACAGAGGCTTGTGCCGTACCCTCCTCCATGTCGTCGACCCAGAAAACTATCCAGTTACTGTTTCCAATATACCTCACCACCTGTGCACAATACCACACATTATTGGAGTCGGGGTAGAGCGCCTCGACTAAATCGTCCTTGTCGAATTTGCCAGCGTCGCCCGAGGCAAGCTCGCCCCATTTCTCGGTCGTGCTCTGGCGCCAGAACGCATTGCCGACCTCTGTGCTGCGCATTTCTCTATAATACATCCGCGGACTGCTCGAGTTCTCCTCGCCCCTCGGAAAGTCCTTCTCCAGCGGCAAACCCAGCTCGCGGAGCTGCGACCGCGTGCCTTCGAGTAAATCCTCCTCTGTCCCTTCGTGCGCTGCCCTTGGAACCGCCCAAAGATGGCCTCTGGCATGGCCAGGCTGAGGGATGAGGATTACTGGCGCAAGAGAAAAGCAATAGCTCTGAAGTGCGCATGCCACCGCACAGCACACAGAACATATGACTGCAGTCCTGCCCAGGCCGTTTAACGAAAGTTTTCCCGATGCACGCAGTCTTCGGATCATTTCAGGCACGTCTGCAAGCGCGTGTCAGCACCAGGCTTGCAGAGCAAATTTGGGCGGGCGGGGTCGAGCCTGCGAAAACTTGGGCCAAGCTTGAGCCAAGATGGCTACGGACCGCAGATGTGTGAAAGCTATGTCATGCCTCTATCAGGTAACACACTGAGGTCTTCAGCATGGGCTTGATTTCGACAAGCAGTCGCACGTAATTCGGGACAGCGTTGGTAGCGCACATAGTAAATGGTTTGCAATATCGGAAAACGTATGTGTTTTAAACATGACGGAGACCACATCGAATAATAACCAAATCTTCGAATCATGATCTGAAGTTCCCCCATGGTGCCCAAATTCATGTTCCGACAGCTGCCATGCGATGATTCACATTCGCAGCTAACCCTGATTTCTCCTCTCGGCAAGCCCTCATTCCCTCGCCTTCATTCCTTTGATGGGGCACGGTGGACGCATCCCACTCGGCACGGACCATGCAAATAAGAACTATTGCTGGCCCGATGGACGTGTTCCACTCGGCGCGCCACATCAAACGAATACTGGTTGTGAGCACGGCGGACTTGTTCCAATCGGCGCGCAATAGGAGACAAACTTAACGTTTGCTGGTAAGCCCTGTTCCACTCAGTGCGCAGCACCAAGTCATCAAAGAGCGATTGTACCCTCCATCTCTGCACGTTCTTTTGGGGGCTGTCTTGGGGCCCCGTGGAGCCTTCGCGGGATCCTTTTCTGGACTCTCTTGCAGCCTCCTGGGACCACCTTGGGCTTCCTGGGCTCTTGTGGGGCCACCTTGGTGCCTCTCGGTACGCTCTCGGTACGCTCTCGGTACGCTTCCTGGGGCTCTTGGAACATCTTGGGACGCTCTCAAGACGCCTCGGGCCGTCATGGGGCGCTCTTGGGCCGTGTCGGGCTCTCTGGAAGCGCCCCGCCCACCTGAGGCTCTGTTGGGGTTGTCCGGGGCCTCTTTAGGGCTATCTTGGGGCGCCTATGGGCGCTCTTCGGCGCCATTGAACCTCTCGAAGAAACGATCACAGGGGAGACAAACCACGCAACAACAATCATATGACATCCGCTGTTACGTGACTTTGGCCGCCTCAGGGTCTTCCGAGAAACTCCCTGTGGTCTCTCGGGGTCGACTTGGTGCCATCTTTGAGCATCTTGGGCCCTCTCCGGTTTTCGCGGAGTCGTCCAAGAGCTCTCTTGGAGCTCATCGGCGGGCACGCAGGCTTTCTGGCAGCCCCATATGGGGCCTTCCGGGAGCGCCCGGGGCAGGCTCCAAAAAGGCCCTGGGGGCCTCTTCGAGCCCTCTGGCAAAGCCTGGGGAAGGCCCCCCGGGGTGGGTGAAGAACTCTGGCGGCCCAAGGGGGGGCGGGGGGAACGCTGGGAGGGTGCTCTGGCCCCCGGGGCCTGGGCCTCCAGTGCCCTCAGGCGCAATCCGAACCGATGTTCCCCAGGGGGAGCACGATGCCATGGGGGCGTCCAAACCGTCTGGTTATACTCGTCGGCGAGCAAGGGGGGGAAATGAGAAGGAGAAGGCCTTCTCAGAAGGCGGCGGGCGGGGCTTCTCAAAAACCCTCGCGCCTTCCGAGAGGTTTTTTTGTTTCTGTCTTGCGGAAAGGCTTAGAGAACCTCGCAGAAGGCCGGGGGGCCTCCGAGCCTTCTGAGAAGGCCCGCCCCTTCTCACTTCCCCCCCACGGCTCGCTGCCGATGTAGACGGTCGGGGGCTTGTGCTGAGCGTGTCGCCGCGGAGGCAGGCCCCGGCGAGGCGCCATGCCTTGCAGGCGGATGGCACGTCGGTCCGCTCCGCGGGGCGGGAGGCCGCGAGCGGCTCGACACGTGGGCGCCCGGGGGCCGCGGAGCGGGCGGCGCGTCGCGCCGAGGCGCGGTGGGCGAGGGCCAGCAACGAGGCACGCCAAGCCGAAACTGCCGACCGTGGCGTGAAGAAATATAAACCGAGCCCGAGATGCTGAGGATCACTCGCCCTTCATCCGTGTAGACACTCGAGGTACCGCCTGAGAAATGTCCCGAGGCACGACCGGCCCGCCTTGCTGGCACGTCGCCAAGCGGCGCGACTTCGATGGGTCGCTTGACAAGGAGAGGGATGGAGGATACACTAGTTAGAGCAGGAAGGAGTGGCCCCACAGGAAGGCTGCACAGGTCTCCGCAAAGCTTCCCACATGATCTCTGCCTTCTGATTTCCTCTGGAGACGTTTGGAAGCCCGAGAAAACAATAAAACAACAACATAAACTATAGCATCGATCATCTTCAAATCCACTGCCCCTCGAGGGAGGCGAGGGCGAGGAGGAGGGAAGACACCCGAAGCGCCCAAACGGCCAAAACATAGACCGTCGATCATTCTCGATCCTCCTCCTCCTCCACTTCCTCCTCCTCTCGAGTGGGGTCAAATTGATGCTCCTGGCCCGCGGTGTCCCCAGCTTTTCGCATCATTTTGGGCCTCTGGGCCTCGTGACGGGTGCGCCTCGACTGCACGCGCAGGGCTAGGATTCGCAGATCGTGTTTTCGAACGCGCGGGCCCCATGCAAGACCCCTGGATGGGGAAACCACAGGGTGCCGATACCGCTGCACCCCGGACCTCTCCCGGGTGCACTCTGGCTCTAGAACTTCGAGACGAATCCAGCGATGGCGACGAGGGCCTCCCGGGAGGCCCAAACAGGATAAAGCGAGGGAAGAGCAGCGGCATCGGTGCCTTTTCCCCCTCTGACTCGACCACTTCCCCAACGCTGTTTCTCCACCCTGAGATCTGACGTTGCAAACAAAAATTCAACATCGCAAAAAAAAAAACGGAGCCCCGGACCGCATCTTCCTGCGGCAATTTTCTAGCTGGACCGATCTGTGAGGGTCCCGGGGCCCGAAAACAGGCGGAAACGCCCGATGTGAAAAATTTGCACCGCCAGGATCTCGGGAGGACGAGGAGGAGGAGAAGGAGGAGGAGGAAGATGGTGAAGCAGTGTTGGAGAGCGTTTCTTTATGTTCGGCGATGACGGGCGTCATGGGGGGCGAGGAGCGAAGCGGGGGGTATGACGTAACGCCCCCCCCCCGCCGTGTAGCTCCGGCACCGCAGCCGCGCCCGCGCGCGCGACGCGACGAGCGACGAGCGACGAGCGACGAGCGACGACGACGACGACGACGCGAGAAGCATGTAGGTGGCGATATGCCCCACTGCGCCTGTGTACGCCGCAACGCTCGCGTGCAACACAGCGCGCGCGTGTATACCACACCGCCCGCGTACACCGCAATAACCGTGCGCAACGCAGCGCCTGTGTACACCACAGTGCTTGCGTACACTACAGCGCCGGTGTACATGTGCACACCGCGGCTATCATGTGCAACACAGCGCCTGTGTACACCACAGTGCTTGCGTGCACCGCAGCGCCTGTGCACGCCACAGCGCGTGTCTACACCACAGCATCCGCGTGCAACGCAGCGCTGGTGTACACCACAATGCCTGCGTGCATAGGACAGGTAGAAGGAGCATGTACGTGAGGATCTGCTGCAGACAAGTAGGCGCCACGCCAGGAAAGTGCTGATAATCGAATGCGACGTTCTTCCCTCCTCCCTCCTCGTCCACCTCCTCCTCCTCCTCCTCCTCCTCCTCCTCCTCCTCCTCCTCCTCCTCACCCTCCTCCTCCTCCTCCTCCTCCTCCTCCTCCTCCTCCTCCCCCTCCTCCTCCTGCTTACCCCCTGTCGTGCGGGTTGGCGCTACAGCGCACGTGCGCATCTCAGCGCGCACCGCATAATGAGCCCCCCATGTAACCAATTAGGTGGATCCCACTTACGCTCCTTCCGTGCTAGAGCAGCTGCGTGAAAGGCGCGCCCAAGACAGCACATTACCATAATCAGTCTTCCACCGTCGCAGTCAGAATTGTGATTGTTCTTTGGTAGTCGTGCTGCTTGTGCACTGTGCCACATGACGGGGAATATGTGATACTTCCTACAGGTCATCAAGAGAGCCATCATCGCGTCCCTGGACCGATCGATCTTCTCGAATTCCGGATCGTAGCCGACCCCCCCCGCCCTTCGGCATTCTCTCGTTGACCCATTTCGGATGGAAAAGCAGAAACCGCAACTCTGGTGGCAAGCTCCAGCTCGGCCACGTGCGCCAAAAACGTAGCCTCCAAACTGATCGACTGATCAAGCTCCAGTCCTCGGCGGCAAGTTACATCGCCTCAGACTCCTCCATCGCCTACCCCCTCCCGATCTATTTCGCTTTTGACCTCCATCGGGTGCTCCTCGATCGCCTGGCATCCGCCTGAACGGGGCTGGAGGCGCATCCTGTGGGCCCACGCCCTCGCAGACGCTGAGCCGTTGGCGATGGCAGCAAACCTGCGCTGGCGAGGTCCTCGCCGCCTGCATTCTAAGAGTCTCGCTAGCTCCTGCACTAAGTCATTGTTTTGCTCTCGTGCTGCTGCTTTGGGTTCTTGTGCACGACGCTCTTGAATTTGTTGCCAGTACAATCTGTTTGCTCGTCGTATTTGCTTGCTCTTGTCCTGAATCGTTGTTGCCCATTCTTCAATATCTTCGGCTCGTGCCGCTGATCCTCTAAGCTCCCGTCGTTATCTAAGAAGTTCGCCTATGTCGTTAGTGTGCTGCTTGTGGTTATCGCTGTACATGGGGGGATTCGGCTAGCTGATCGACGGCTGCTGTGTTGAGCGCTGTGATCAATAGCTCGTTCATGCATCGGCGTTGCCTACCGTGGCTGCTGCATTAAACTCGTCCTGGATATTGCTGACGTCCTCCTCCATCGCCTTCAAAACCTCATTCCTCCGAAACCCTACTTGTACACATTGATACAGCGCCTCTCGATTAGGCCGGGGCGGTCTCCTGGGGAGCGGTTCCGCCGCTACCTGGGCGAAAAGCGAGACCAGCACTGGTCGGTGATCTCGGGGCTCCTTCGACCTGAAGAGCTGTACGCTCCTGGCAGAATTCGACAACATGTGAACACGTTCAATGGTCTGCAATAACCCCCCTTGGAAGAAAAATGTGATCTATAGATGAGCTGCCCTTCTCACCGACATATGTAGGTGGCCCAGGAAAGTGTGTTGTGGCACTGGAAAGCGACCAACCAGATGCATACAGTCTGAATCTCGACGAAGTCGGAGTAATCTTTCCCGTGCCGTGAACTCCTGCAACCTTATCGAGTGGGCTGTGAGGTAGTGCTCCGTTAAAGTCCGTCATCACTAT